GAATATTTGAATTTAATTTCAAATATCATCTTCTATACCAGAACTCATTCACGCTCAGCTCATTTTGATTTTAATCCATGGCTATTTGGTGTTTTGGCCATGTGTGCTCAGCATATCTTTATAGTCTGTGGCATTGGGAATCTGTGTTACAAAGTAATTACCTCCCTCATACAGAAAGGGAAAATGATAGAGGAAATTGCTACCATTGGGTAGAACTGGAAACTTGAAGTGCAAATTTTCTGTAGTGCTCCAGATCCTGAACTATGTATGGAGCTAGGTTCTGTTTGAGATGTTAATCCGATCTGCAAGTTGGATTGTCTCATGAGGATGTTCTCATTTAAAAATTTAGAGCTCATGCCTGGCCGGCATGGCTCAGTGGTAGAGCGTTGACTTATGAACCAGGAGGTCATGGTCTGATTCCCAGTTGGTGTCCATGCCCGGGTTGTGGGCTTGATCCCCAGTGTGGGGCATGCAGGAAGCAACCGATCAATGGTTCTCTTTCATCATTGATGTTTTATCGCTCTCTCCCTCTCTCTCTGAAATCAGTAAAAATATATTTTAAAAATAAAAATTTAGAGATGATAGGACTGAACTAAGTCCGGGCTGAGTGTTTTCCCTCCTAGAATTTGGAATACCAGTATCACTACTAGGCCAGCATTCAGCTTAGTAAAAAGGAAGGATTTTTGGCTTCACTTTGCCTTGTAGTAGAAAGCAATCAAGTTAGAGGTATCCTGGTGTTCTGGTATATGGTTAAGGAAGTTTGATAGAAGAGCTTAAGATCCCCAGACAACCATCAGTCTCTGATCTGCACATCACCCTTGGTTTGACTGTTCAGCGCTGAGGTTTTATCCAAAACTTACTGCTTTCCTAGACAATGTTCAAGTTGCTCATCTCACTTATATGAATGACTTGTAATCGACCTTGGCCTTGGGAGCTTCTTGCTGAATATTGAAAGCAAATGAAATCTGAAATAACCATCCTGCTGGGATGAAAAGCATAGTTGGCCCTGCTCTGTGGTAGCAAGGACAGCAGCACAGTTAATTGACCCTTGAACAACACAGGTTGGGGCACTGGCATCCCTCCCCACACAGTTGAAAATCCACATATAACCTGACTCCCCCAAAACTTAAAATACCCTACTGTTGACCAGAAGCCTTACCAATAACAGTTGTAAAACACATATTTTGTATGTTATATGTATTATATACTATATTCTTACAATAAAGAAAATCATAAGGAAGAGAACATACATTTACAGTATTTATTGAAAAAAATCCACATATATGTGGACCTGTGTGATTCAAACACATATTGTTCAAGGGTCAACTAGTCTGTTTCTAAGGCTTCTTTCTTTCTTTTCTTTTCTTTCTTTCTTATTTAGGCCAGTGAGGTGACAGAACTCCAAGGTAAAGTTGAAACAGTAAGTTTACAACATATGCTAACAATTCAGTTCTATAGTTTTTGTTTATATTAAATAACTTGTGTTAAAATATTCAACAGCAGGTCTGAGTCTGCACTATGACCTTGTTAGTTTGCATGGTGGTGATAGTACCAAAGCCATGTTTACCCCACATGGATTTTTAAATCCTACTTGACTTTGACCAGTCCTGCCCTGTTTACTGTTTGCATAGCCTGTGGTCAGACTGGGGAACTTTGGGGCCTGGCTTTGGGTCAGGGCAGAGCATCAACTATGGTCTTTCTCCACCTTTCCCCATGTGAACTAAACTAGGTTTTATTTCCTTGGTTGAAATATCATCTGTAATGAAGTAACAAATACTGTGCAGTCTATCTCCAGTCTGCAGTTAAAGTTGGACTGGAAAAGAACCAACCTTGAGGCTGTCATTGGTATTTTTGTGTGCTCTGAAAGGAAGACAAAAGTTTCTATCTAACTAATTCTGAACACAACTCTTTAGCAAGGTCCCATACTCTTCTCAGGAGACAACTGGTGCACTGAATTCTGTTAATCGGCTAATTTAGGCAGATGTGCATTTTCAAAGAATCCCTGGACAGAACAAGGACTAGAAATCAAATCAGGTGTTACGTTTCACATGTATTCCCCAGAGTCCCCACATGGCTCCACATGAAGTCAGAACTAGAGGCAAGGAAAATGACTAACCCCTCTGAGAGAGAAGGTAAAGGTGAAAGAAGGGTTACTGTTCTTGGTACACTGACAAAATGACACACATATTTTGGTCTATGGGTCACTATTCACTTTCCAGATGAATCGGTGGTAAGAAAACAATCTCTTAGGATAACCAAGCACCTAGGTTTTGCTAGAGAATTTCTACACTTGGCTGGGAAAACACCTTCCAGAGAGGCAAATGCCAACCTGTACCTTATTGGCATATAGATAGCGTCAGTAAGATGCCAACCTGTACCTTATTGGCATATAGATAGCGTCAGTAAGAAAACAGACTCTGGCTCTGGCCACGTGATTCAGTTGGGTTGGAGCTCTGTCCACATGCACCAAGGTTGCAGGTCTGATATCATGTCAGGGCATATGCAGAAAGCAACCAATGAATGCATAAGTGGGACAATAAATCAATGTTTCTCTCCAATTTAAAAAATAAAGCTGTTGCTCTAAGTTGGTGCCTACTACATGTGGAAGGAGGCTTGAGGGTGTTTGGGTTATTTTTTTCTGCAAGGCACTTGGTTTTTCCAGCTATTTGCTAAATAAACCTGAAGAGCAGCAAGGCCTGGTGTAACCTGGGGCTGTAAAAGCAGGGAATAGGGCAGCCTGAGGAAGATGAGGTTCTTTGGAAAGTACTGCCCCGTTCACCAGCTGTTTGACTAGTTGCTGTTTAGCTTTCCCTAGAAAAGGTGAGGAGTCAGCCATGGAGGCCAGGTATTGTAGACACTGTCTCTAGATCACTATTTTACCCTTTCAGTTTTTATTTTTTCTATTTTTAATGATACTGGAATAGCCCCTGCTTCATTGGTGAGATCTGCCGGGCAGGTGTTGAAACAGTCTGTTTCCATCTTACATGAATTATGATGTATGGGAAATTGGTTTGAATGAAGCCTAGGAGTGTTGAAGTCAAGACAAAGCAAGTCTTCTACCCCTACCCAAGCAGGCCATGCTAAAATTTGGTCTTTAGTTAAGGATTGAGGCGTGCTCATATCTCTTTGCCACCCTAGAATCTCTGCTCACTTCCTGTCTTAAGTGTAGCAGGTCTTTCACAAGGCTTACTTGAGTGAGTCCTATCTTCCTGGCAGAAAAAACCTTGAAGCTAGAACACCCACTCCACCAGCCAGCAGCAAAAGAGGTCAGCCCCACAGCAGTGCTGACCAACTTGGCCGGAAGCCCCATCTAATCAACGTGATCCTAGATACAACTGTAGATCTCTCCATATGGGGACATGGGGAAAGGGGGTGACAAAAATACTTTCTCAGACCAGAGGCAACACTAGTAAAGGGGGTGAGAGGAATGTTTCACTTAAAACCTTTTACATCTCAAGCTAAAAAAGAAGTTGCAAAACAAGATAAAAGTTATAACCTAATACTGTTAAACCAAAATATATATTTGTTTCTAGAAGGAATACAAAAATATTACTTTATGAATTTTACTTGTCAATTTATTCTTCTACATAACAATTTGTATTTTTTTATTAGCAGTGAATTTTTTAAACTTAATTTTTAGACTTTGTTTTTCACTTTAAGAATCTTGGTTTTATCTGACAAATATTGCTTAATTCCTAATGCACGAAGAGCTCTTGTTAGTATGACCAATCCTTTTCAGCTAGAGGTAAGGGGAAAGCCATTGTAAATTGAAATAAGTTTAAGAAATCAATATTGTTCCTGGAATTCTATTCCATCCCTTAGGATAAACTAGCAGCATCATTGAAGGACTAGGCTGAGCCAGGTCACACAGTGGTACAGGGAAATTAAAGATCACAGGTTCTGTTACTAGGATCATGGCTTCTGGTCATAAACCTTGTCCTGAACTGCTTCTCAGCCTTTTGGCCAAGACCAAGTGTATAAATCTTGTCCAGTAATCTCAGACTGCCACTGAGTATTCATTACTTGGGCATTTGGCACCTACCTCAAGATGGGCATATGGCAGTTCCAGCATCCACCCAGTACCTTGCAGCATTCAGCACTTCCAAGGCTTGTTATTAAGGCAGAGGTGTGTGTGTGTCAGATTTCAGTTACCTCGGCTGGGGCTTTCCAAAACCTGGGGTCTGGCTTCCTGCTTCTCTCATTCTGTGGCCATGCTATTTTACACTGAAACACTTGGCATGCCCTTTGAGAAAAGCCAAAAGAATTCTGAATCCTTCCTCTGAGGGGATTCAGCTGGTATACCTTGTGAACAGGTACCTAACACCTGCTTGGAAAGGTTATTAATACAGTATTTAAGACTATTGTCTTTTCTAAATTACTGTCAACCCACCTTCCCAGGTAAGCTCTGCCCTAGCCGCACAATGGCCAGCCCTCCTGAGACCTATTTACTGTTTAAATTCAAGGTAGGGAAAAATTGCACTTGAGAATGAATCATCCATTTTATTTTATTTTGTCATGTGCTCACAACCTCTCCTCTCCCTTCCCTGGCAGGTCACAGATAAATTAAAAATAAAATCTACAAGGAAAATAATTTATAAAAGCACTCCCAGGCTCATGCCTTCTATCCCTACTGCTCAATTAATGTGTTACCCCTCCCCCAAAGTGGGGAGAACCAGCATTTCCCCCATTCAACTCCTGCTAGTCCAGATTGTACCCCAGAACCAGACGAGGGGGAGGGGCAGCAGTAGCACACAGTTAAAAATAAAGACACTGGTCCTGGAACCATATGGCCACCTTGGCACTCCCCTCTCTGCTTCCCCCAGGCAGTCCTCCAGGATCCCTTGCTGAGCTCAGGGTGCTGAGAAGTTGCCTATGGCCAAGAGCCTGGGGCAGGGGAAGATGCTGTAAACCTCCATTCATGCACTTCTAATCCTCCTAGGAAGAAACTCAAAGAAGAAAGCAGACAGAGACCTCAGGACGGAGGAGAAAAATCCCAAATGTTCACACAGTTACACGGAGTCTTTATGGCAAAGAGAACATTTAGCAGCTTTGAATATTGGGGTATCTCCTTTTTACTCAACACAAGCATCCTAGACCCTATAAGTGAAACAGGGCTCAAGCCCTAAAAAAATCAAAGCGCAAGAAACTCTAAGAGGACTAGTATTTTGTTGCTGGGTTTTGTTTTGGCTTTTTCCAGTGACAAGCCCAGTTGTTGGTGGGAGGTCTGAGGGGTCACTCCCCAGTGTTGTGCTGAATACTACCTGGCTTTTCCACATCATCCCCCTGCCTCAGAGCAGCCCCCAGAAGGCTGTAGGCCCATCACTGGGGGCACTGCCAGCACCCAGCTACAGAAGAGCTCTGGGCAGCTGGTGAGGGGCAGGGAAGAGAACAGCATTTGCATGCAGGCTCTGATGAAGTCATGGGAACCTCAGCTCAGGGGTGACTGGGCACCAGGGAGATAGAGTGGCGGGACAGTGAGTGGCATGCTTGGTGTTGGGGCTGCTGCAATACGGGGCCTTGTGACCCTTTCCTGTTCAGTATCCTTTAATCCTAACCCTCTAAACAGGTGTCGGGTCCTGGTAGCTCCCCTGTGTTGAAACGTTCAAGGAGTTATCTAAGAGCTCCCCTTCATGGATATCAAAGTGTGGGAGCAGAAAGAGTTCACAAAGCCCTTCCCAGAACTCACCTTGTCTGTGTCCACCCCTCCCCTGGAGTGAAGTGGGGTTTACTCACACCAATGACCTAGTCCCACCTAAAACCTGCTGCCTGGAATCCTGGCCAGATTCAATCTTAACCTGCAGTTTTTTCTTCCAGCTTTGATTTTGATTTTTTTTTTTTTGGTTTTTCTTTCCTTCATTTCTTCCTGGAATGAGACTTTCTACTACTTTTCTCTCCTCTCACAAGTCCCTTCCTTCCCCTTTGTCGGCCTCCATCAATGCCATCACCACCCCACCCCTTCCCTCAAAGGAAAGGGGGATGGGTGAAGACCCTGTCCACCCAGACAGTCTGGCAACTTCGACATTCCCCAGTGGGGGAAGCTGAGCCAGACAGTGCCTATGCCCGCCTCTTCCTGTCCACTGACCCACAGTCATCCCATCTGAGATCTATTGGATAACAAGGCATTCAAGTCCCCCACTGTAGGTCCAGGTCCAGGCCCAGCCCTTCTCCAGTTTCAATCTTGGTGAGTGTCAACCCCCCTTCCTCCCCAGGCTCACTTTCTCCGGTCCTTTGGCTTCCTCTCCTGCCGCCGGGCCTGCTGGTCGGCCAGGGTGCGGGGAATGAGGAGGACACTACCATCCCCAGCGTACTGGAGAGCATATTGACTGGGCGAGTAGGGTTGCCCATTCTCATCTCGCAGCCGCCCAAACACCTCCTGATACAGGCTCTGAACTTTCTGCTTCATTTGCCGCAGGGACCGGAGGAACTCTACCTTCTCCCGCAGCAGTCGGGCTTTATCACGCTGCAGGTCCTCCACATCCCGCTTCAGGTTCAGGATGGTGTCCAGCTTGCGCTTCCGGCAGTTCTGCGCTGCCATCTTGTTCTTGCCCCGGCGCCGGATATCCCGGATGAGGCTTAGCTGGGCTTCGCTGAGCTGGTATTTGGACAGCAGCTCGTTGAATTCCTCCACAGGCAAGTTGATGATTTTGTCATTGGTGAAGGGGATCTTCATGGCTCGGGCTCGATGCTCATCCCGGCTCATCTGCTTGTCAGAGTCAAGGGCACTGGGTGCCATGTTGTACGTGTGGTTGTGGCCCACATGCTCCAAGTAGGGCAGGCAAGAGAGCTGAGACGGATCCTGGTAGCTCATGCGGCAGAACTTGGAATACTCGGGCTGGTAGCCCACAGCGCCCTCCACCTCTTCTAGATCCAGGGTTTCAGAGTCAGAGCTGTAGCCAACAGCACCTTCCTCAGAAAAGGAGGAAGAGGCTGAGGAAGAAGCAGAGGAAGAAGAGGAAGAAGAGGAGGAGGAGCTGCCTTCAGAGCTGCTCAGGGAGGAAGGGCTATGGCTAGAGTCCAAGGAGAGGCCTGAGTCAGAGTCAAATTCCTCTTTAAGCTGGGAGGCCTGCACAGAGTTAAAGCCTTCTTCAATGGCCAGGTCCATCAGGCTGATCTCATCTAGCATGGCTTCATCTAACAGACCCCCCAGTGGGTCAGGCAGCTCAGGGCCTGCTGTGTCATTGGCTGTGCCGTTGAGCTGGGGTGGAAAGAAGAGGCCTGATAGGTTGGTGGAGCCAAAGGTGGAGTTGAGGCTGGTGGAATTGCTGGGGACCAGTGGGGGCAGTGTGGAGCTGCTGGCCACAGGCAGGCTCTCCACCTCAGGGCTGAAAAGGGAGAAGTCCTGGCTGCAGCCCCCCAGGGACGCCTGATGCAGGCTGACATTCTGATTGATGGGAGTGTTGGGGGCAAGGCTATAGTTGGTGCTCAGTGGGTCTCCAGGAGGGTTATTGTACAGGATCTCATTTGTTGATGTGTTCACTTCCATGGCCTGAAAGGGAAGAAGAGTGTCACCTTTTACTCAGAGTAGACTCCCCCCCCAGGTGAAGCTGAAGGCTTATATGAGCAGACACCCAACATAGGCACAACTGCATGGGTATAAAAACAAGAAACTGGACATCAGAGCCCACGGCATCAGCTCCTGGCCCTAGTTGGTCCACCAGGCCTGACAGAGATGGGTTCCTTCATATGGACTCCGCTCCAATGCAGGACTGACCAACTCATGTTTGGCCAGACTCCCCCATCTTGAAGAGAGAGTAAGCAAACACCTAACACTGACTACCTCTTCATTGCAAAATCAGCATAGTAAAAAAAAGACCAAGCCTTGGAATGAGAAAACTTAGCTGTACCACTTTCATGTGACCACGGGTATATCACGTAACCTATCTGAGCTTCCATGTCCTCACCGTTAAAATAATAAAGGGCTGCCCTAGCTGGTTTGGCTCAGTGGATAGTGCCTTGGCCTGCGGACTGAAGGGTCCTGGGTTCGATTCCAGTCAAGGGCACATGCCCGGTTGCGGGCTCGATCCCCAGTAGGGGGCATGCAGGAGGCAGCTGATCAATGATTCTCTCTCATCATTGATGTTTCTATCTCACTCTCCCTTCCTATCTGAAATCAATAAAAATATATTTTAAAAATAAATAATAAAGGGCTGACTAGATAATTGTGCCAAGTGAGATAACGGTGGCTATAAAGCATTACATGAACGTCAGCTTAATGATAAACCTGGGGAGCACCCAGCCAAGTGATTATCTGCTTGAAGGAAAAAAAGGAGGCATACGTAGGAAGCAGGCCCACTCTAAAAGGCTCAAGCCCTGGGGTTTTATCCCAAACTCCACTCCTGACTTTACCCCGTATCTCCCCAAGGAGATACCTAGACAGTTACCTCTCAGTGTTCTCACTTTCCTATGAATCAGACAATATGTTACTCTTTCTCTTCCCAGAGAGGGAAAAGCAAATAAGTGCTAAGATACCCCACACAAGGTCCCATGAGTTTGTGCTCTGATAGTCCTACCTGCATTTCCATGATGGACATGAGATCTTGCCACTGCTGTTCCAAATCAAATGGTGACTCTGTCCCCGTCAGGAGAGGAGACAAGAGGTTGTTCTGAAGACCTGGGGGCTCACTCTCACTAGGCACTGCTTCCGTTAAGCTGGAAATGTCTGCTGGAAACTAGGGTAAAACACAGAGACTTTAACAAAGAAAAAAGGAAAGACCAGCCTTCTGCTTTCCTCCCAGAGACTACCATCTGAGGTTCTGTTCCTTCCTCTGATTTCACCCCCAGCAGCCAGGACAAGGCCAGCACCAAGAGTTGGCCTCTCAGGCAGCCCGTAGGAACATTGTGTGCAGGCTACCCTGCTGAGTTGGTGGGCTCTCCCTGAAGTCCTGCTCACCTCAGCATTCTCCCCAAAGGGGCAGGTGGCCTCCAGCAGCCTAAGGCACAATTCCAAGGACAGGGCTGTCTGGTTCTCCCCACCAGGCACCTGTGGCAACAGCAACTGTAAGTCTGACTGATCTAGGCTTTGGCTGCCTGCAGGCTTCCCCAAGGGGACATTGAAGGAAGACCTGCGTGGTTGTAGGCCCACACTCTCCCTGTTTCCGGGCTAATGACAGACCGTAAGTCCCAAACTCCAGGGGAGAACAGGGAAGGTAAGAGTCCTGATGCAAGTAGGAATCTGCTAGGTGCTTTGCCTCCTCTGTGCTGTTTGTTACCAAAGCCTGGCCCCTCCATTTCTATTCTGTTCATCCACTCCTCTTTTCTCAGCTCACTCACTGTGAGAGACCCCAACCCAAAATATACACTCAGTCCATCCCACAAGACACAACTGCCTTCTCTAAAGATAAGTTTCCTGGAGTGAGCAGAGGTGGGAGTACCTGGGCAGGGAAGCTCTCCCCAGTTTCTCCATCCACTAGCAGGTTTCGTGCCAGAACTTCTTCTCCTTCTCCTGGCCAGGTGTCCTCCTGCTCCACTCCATCTTGCAGTTCCTTATCCACATCTTGTTCTTTCTGGCGATGACTATAGTCAAAAATCTCACGCCCAGCCCCCAGGTCAATATCCTGTCGCCAAAGTATGTCAATCAGATCTATGTCCTGAAAGACAGATCACCATGACTTTAGCTCTGGATCTAGGGGCCCCTTCCTGCCTCTCAAGAGGTCCTTCCTAGCATCGCTCCAATTATTCCCTCCCAGGCCTACAGCTCCCAGCCTCTACCCCCCGCCCCCCACTCTGCATCAGCAAGGCTTCATTCATCCATTTCCAGACACCAGCCTCCAAAAAAACCAAAACCTAGCAAAAACCAATAGCATACCCATCACCATACCAGTCTGGGGACTTAGTATCCGCACCAGAAACACCCCAGCTGAAAGGCAGGGCACCTCATTGCTATGCAAGAAGGAAGGTGGAAGTTAAGAGGCATTTCTCATTTGGGGAATGGGAATCCCTTAAAACAGGGTTTGTAGGAAGCTGGCCACAGCAAGCAAGGGCAAACTGTCATGCAGAATTGCTTCGATGGTGGCCAGGCTTGCATCAGCCTATGGTACCATTTCATTTGCATAAAGGGGTGGGCTGGGCTGGAGAGGAAAATCCCTGCATTTGCAACCACCTGATGAAACCAATGACAATGACAGGCTGTCACCAGCCATTCCCCCTTCCCTGGCTGAGGCAGGAGTAAGGCTGAACACCCACAACTCTTAAAGCCCAGGCTCACCTCAAGATCCATCCCTGCCTGAATCCTCACTCTCCAGCTGATCCTAACAAGCTGCCGCTCCCAGGAGAGCTTCCAGCAGTCAGCTGATCCTCACTGGGCACCCCACCCCTGCCAAGGCCAGCCCCATAGTGCCCCCTCTCACACCAGAGCTCTCACGCCCTTACCACACCCCAGGACTCACTGACTCCCCATCAGTCAACCCACTCAAGGACATAGCCTCCATCACCACTGGGCCACAGCTGCTGCCTCAGGTACCAAAACACCCCCTCCTGCTCTACCCTGGTGGCTCCTGCACCAACTGCGACCCCCACTGCCACCAGCATAGAACCCCAGTAAATAGCTATTGGAGCTTTTCTACACATGACACCTCCTATAGCTAAAGAAACCCTACTGTTGGCTTCCATTCAGGTTAAGCCGGCACTTTTCAGAAAGCAATATCCTTAGATTAGACCCACCTCCCTAGCCCTTATCAGGTATCCTTTCCCACTATAACCCTCCTGGATCTTAGGACCT